TCAAGGCTGGACTATTGTAATTCTTTACTATCAGGAAGTCCACAAACTGTAGTTAAAAGCCTTCAGCTGATCCAAAATGCTGCAGCCAGAGTTCTGATGAAAATTAAAAAGAGAGATCATATCTCTCCTATCCTAGCTTCTCTTCATTGGCTTCCTGTTAAATCCAGAATAGAATTTAAAATCCTCCTTCTCACATATAAAGCCTTAAATGGCCAAGCTCCATCTGATATCAGAGATCTGATTGTTCCTTATGTTCCTAACAGAGCACTTCGCTCTCAATCTGCAGGTTTACTAGTGGTTCCTAGAATTTCTTAAAGTAGAATGGGAGGCAGATCTTTTAGTTATCAGGCTCCTCTCCTGTGGAACCAACTACCAGTTTTAGTCCGTGAGGCAGACACTCTGTCTACTTTTAAGGCTAGACTTAAAACTTTCCTTTTTTATAAAGCTTATAGTTAGAGTGGCTCAGGTTATCCTGAGCTATCTCTATAGTTATGCTGCTATAGGCTTAGATTTCTGCTTCATTCTATCTCTATTCTCCCACTCTGCAGAATCTGTTAGTTCAATCTCTAACGTTCTGCTCTCTCTGCTTTTTCTCATAGTAGCTTCATCTGGTCTCTTCCTGTTTGGCTGTGACTCCATCCTGGAGAGAAATATCAGCTGTGCTGCTTCCATCAACACCCTTGTTTATAGATGCTGGAGATCGGCCTGTTTCCCAGTGACTGGCTGGATGTGCTCTCTTGATCCTCTGACATGGGAGCTGGCTCGGAGCTCGTCTGCCTGGCTGTGTGTTTCCTGGACGGGGCCGCATTTTACAGCTGCTTTTTGTGTCTCTGCTTCTGTTTCCTTGAACCCCAGTTGGCCTGTGCAGATGGCCGCTCACACTGAGCCTGGTTCTGCTGGAGGTTCTTTTTGTTAAAAGGGAGTTTTTCCTCTCCACTGTCGCTACAAGCCTGCTTAGTGTGAGGGATTGCATTGGAGTAAATTTTAAGCCTGTAAAACTCTGTCCAGCAGCTGCTGGTAGCAGAGCTGGAAGTCACCATGACTCTGATCAGCTCTGCTGTGTTGGCCTTTGGAAACCGTCACTCTGATTCACACACTAATATTATTATCAGTGGGACCTAGAGGGGCTTCTAGCTAATGCTGCAGACACTGTTTGTTGGTAACTGAGTCACCAGATCCAGATGTGACATCACCACGCCTGCCATCCTCCATCTTGGTAGACCCTAGCTGCCCTCAGCCGTCACCCTGATGGCTGGTTACCACAGCAACAAGACAAGGAAACACCACAGCACTTAATATACAACATTTAAACTGATTTTATTCTGTTTCATTAGTTTGATGTTTATTGCAGAGCTAAAAACTGCAGGAAGAGTTTTGGTATCTATTAGTTTACTAATCCACTCTGTGATGTCACCAAGAAGGCAGATTGTTCCTGTATATTCTAGGCATGTTGATCAGTCTTCACATAGTTTTAGCCAGAAGTCATAGACAGCTGGACAGAACCAGAGAACATAGATATTCATCAGCTAGATCTCCATGCAGTTTGGACATGTGATGCTAAGTCAGAAACCCATCTGGAACATTGTTGGGTTTTAATCCAGAGAAATGTGAGTTTAAAAGATTAAGAGGAAATGATCAAACACAGACTTAGGGATTTAGAAAAGTGAACCTCTGCAAAGGGGTGAAAAGCTGCTGGCTCAGAAACCAGCACCTTCTCACCCAGATCCCTTCATAGCAAAGCCTTTTATTAACAGTTTACAACATCATAGGGAGGGCCTTAAACAGAAGACCCAGTAATGATTATCTGGGAGGATGCAGGTAATAAGATAGTGTGAATTGACCATCTGGCTGGATGGAAGTCACACAACCGTGTGATTCTGCCTCATGACCTACTGGAGGTCATAAAAGTTTATGACCCATCTGGTTGAATCACAGGATAGAAATGTAGCATCTTCTTTCTTTCAATGTTTCATATGTCCACACAATAATTTTATAATTATCACTCTAACATTTCCCCCCTCTTATACATAAAAACATCAGCATATAGCACTTCTAAAAAGATTTTCACTACATACATCATGAATGCATTGCAGATAGGGAATTCAGTAATCAAAGTTTAATATGCAAAACACAACAATATTAAAAGGAAGCAAAACCACTTTGGTTTTTCAGATCTTCGCCAGTCCGTCCAAGGAAACACCCACTAACCGGACTCTAAAAGACTGGGTTAGGTTGGTTTCTTCACCAGCGTTGAGACGATTGGTCCTAAAAAACCAAACGCCTTTGAAGCTGGATTTCACCACAGATCTATACCTTAGTCGTGGGGTCCCTGTGAAAGTAACTGGGCTTTTTTGCTGAGGAAAATTTTTTAATCAGTTTACAATGACTCTGGTGGATCCAAGTGTTTCTCTCCTGGATCTTCACAGTGGTGGGGGTTGTTAGTTGCACTATGTAGGGTCCTTCCCACCTCGGAGCTTCCCAACTCTTCCCTTTGATGATTTTAATCAGCTCTCGGTCTCCAGGCTTCAGGCCTTCCTGTGGGGAAACAAAAAGGAGCTCTGGGCAGATTACATGTTCTTTGAACAGTTCCGTATTTGAACAGTTTCAGAATTCACTTAGTTAATGGGTCAATGCTCTTTTTCTTTTTCTGCCCATGGCTGTCCTTCCCATAAAGGTAGAACAAAAGGTCTCCCATTCACCATTTCAAAAGAGGCCAAACCATCAGATGTTGGAACAATCCTCATGAGTAATTTTACTAAATGCAAACACTCTGGTCATGGCTTTCCTGTTTCTGCCATGAATTTTCTCAATCTGTTCTTAACCTCTCCATTAGCTCGTTCCACCAATCTTGCACTCTGTGGATGGTAGGAACATTGATGTTTTAAGGTTATGTTTAAATGTTTAGACATTACTGATACCACTTCATTCACAAAATGTGTTCCATTATCACTTTATAAGATTTTTTGGATACCATGTTCAGGTATGATATGTTTACACAACCCTTTTGCTACTGTCAGTGCATTGACATGTTTTGTGGAAACAATTTCTACCCATTTAGAAACATTGTCCACTAGGACTAGGCAGTACTTGTACTGTCCACTTGGGGTCAGCTCAATGTAGTCCATGCTAATTATTTCAACTGGAGCTGTACCTCTTGGCACCTGTCCTCACTTAGTTTTCTGATTTGCTTGTGAATTGTATTCACAACATGTGAGACATGCAAAAATTTTAAAAGCAGTAGTAGTTACACACCTGTGTGTGTACCTATACCATATTCATCATAACTCCCCCTGTTTGAGACATGATAATTTCATGGTTCAAAATAGCATCAGAATAGCAATAGAATCAGAAATAGTTTAATAATCCCAGAGGGAAATTAATTTTGTTACACGCTCAAGTTACAGTTTTCTCTTTATACACACACATCCAACTACACAATATAATAAAAACAAAAAATAAGAATATGGGGGAACTGTTGTTTACACGGGTCCTCTTTAACCCTTAAAAGTAAGACACTACAGGTATGAGCGTATCACCATGAGAATGTAACAACACAAAGGTCAGGTCTTTGTCCTGATTAGTTTTCTATGAAGGATTTTGTTTTCTATCAGCTGAAAGTTGGTGTTTTTGGTCATTCTAGAAGCTTTTATGCTGATTTTACTCCAATAGTTAAAATCTGTGCTGGTAGATAAATCAGAATCACATTTACTGATAGGAAGTCAGATTGTTAATGAATCTCTAATCAGTGTTTATCTCTACATGAACATTGAAGTGTTTTTGTAAACTAGTCTAAATCCCACATCTGGCAGACCTGACCTGCATTGTTAGTTGATGATCATTCATTGGTAGTTTGATCAAAGAACTCAGGATGGTTCCCAACTCAGACTCAGCTCTCACTCTGCTTCATGACACCATCAGCATCCAGGAAACCACAGACCACCATGCAGCGTTCATGATCACAGGAGATTTCAGCAGCTGCAGCTCAGACTGAACACACTGAAGACTTTCAGCAAGACGACGTCCCAACAGACAAGGAAACACACTGGGATAGATGAGAGCTTTCATACATGATGTCTGCAGAGCTTCCTTCAGACCTACTTTGGATCTTCAGAGATTCACATTTCTGATGGTTCTGCCAAGGATCCAGACAGGAGCTCAGAGCAGCTTCTCCAAGACAGTTCAGCTATGATCTGCTGAACATCAGCTCAGATTACAGGACTGTTCTGTTCTCATTCAGACACTTTTGAAATCTGCATCCAATCATGAAGAAGCAGCAAACTTGATTCCAGTTGATCCTGAGGACAACATGAAGATCTGAACTAACTCCCAGATCCAGTCCATGTGGACTAAAGTAGTGGAGCGACCCACTGACTGACACCAACACCAGAACCATGCTGCTAGTGCGGCTAAAAGAAAAGAGAAGAAGAGACAGTCATGTTGATGTGAACATTAGAGAAACACATCATGGAGCTGAAATCTGATCCTGCTTCATCATTTGGACCGCTTCACCTCAGCTGACCCATTCAGCAGCAGACAGCTTTTCTAGCAGTCTTTCTCACTGTGTGGAGGATACTGGAACCACATCTTTGGTTCTGGAACCAAACTGGATGGAACAGGTAAGAACCAACATTTATTGTTTGATTGTAGAAGTTAAAATGTGTTTAAAGTCACTTTCTGCTGCTTCAGGATTTACATGTTAGTTTTTATCATTAGGAGAGAATTCATCATGAAAATATCAATAATTGATGGAAAACATGTTAAAAAGTATCTGAACAACTTTAGAAAATTAATGTTGATATTTTTACAGATATTGGAGAATAATATCTGAAACCTTTCAGTAACTCTAACCCTGTAATATCTGCTAATATTGTTGATAAAAGTCTAATTACTGTAAAATATTCTTTATAGATTCACTAACTGCTAAACCTCAGTGTTACATGTAGCTGAGAGAGAAAAACTGAAAATAATCAGAGCAGAAAACAGCAGACAGGTTTTTGTAGCAGTCTTTCTCACTGTGAATGAATACCTCTTTGGTTCTGGAACCAAACTGTATGTAACAGGTAAGAACCAACATTTATTGTTTGATTGTTGAAGTTAAAATGTGTTTAAAGTCACTTTCTGCTGCTTCAGGATTTTAAACTAATTATTTGATCATTTTAATAATCCTGTTTAATCGGCTGAAAATGCATCAAATAAAATATAATTTATTTAGAAAAGGATTAAAAATCTATGTGAATAAATCCAACATTTAACTTCCAAAGGTTGTAAAGTAAACCTGGTAATAAACCCTCAATGTTTTCTGATCAGCAGAGATGTAAATATGTTTCAATGAGTTCAAAGCTCCAAAGTTTCTGAGCCTGGTTTTAAGTTCAGAGTGGAGCAACAGAAACATTTTCCTGCCATGAATCCAATGATTTTCCCTCCTAGTTTTAACCAGTGTTCAGCGTGGCTGCAGGGTGGATCAGTGGGTAGAGCAGCTGCTCCATGTTCTCACACTGTTGCTCCTTGATGCAGCTGTTCTGGGTCAGAACTCGGAGCCCGGCCCGTTTACTGCAGAGCTTCCTTTGCTCTGTCTGCTTTCTGTCTGATAGAGAAAAGATGTTCCACAGAAATATTACAGTTAAGAGATTTGATACATGAAAAACTGCTAAATGATTAAGATGCTGTTTTCATTTAAAATCTACTTTTATTAAAAACAGAAAAGTTTGGTAACTGTTACAAAACAATACTTATGAAAATATGAATTTAGAAATCAACATAATGCTTAAAGTGACATAAATGTCAGAATTAGTGCTAAAAATAAATGGTACAGTTTTTGTGGTTTGAGCAAGAAAAGTATTTTTTACTTGAATTAAATGTCTAAAAGAAAATTTATATCAATTTATGTATTTATTGGTAAATTTCACTATGAAAATGAAGTAAAGAAAATTGGGTAAAAATGTAATTTTCCATTTTCTGCTGATTTATTGATGATGTTAGTGAAGCTCAGAGGAGGGTAGAGTCACAAAGAAATGAACCTCTGAATTCATTTTGTTGAATTTACAGAATCAGACAGAAATTTAAAATGATCTGAAAATTCAAGTAAAATTATAAAAATTATCTTAAGAATAAAAATATGTTAATAGAGAAATGTGGGCTTAATAAAGCGTCTGTTTAATTCCTGCTTAAAGGCTGTTATTGTCTAAAGCAGCGGCCTCCAAAGTTCTTCTCATGGCGGACAAAAGATGTCAGTTTTAAAGTTCTAGACGGAAACAAAATGTTATATATTATGTTAAAATAAGAATTTTAAAACTATATTTTTCAGCTTTATCTGATCAACAGTTAACTAATCTAGCAATATTGGAATAAAAGAAGCACAGGGATCTGATTTCTAAAGAAAATGAATCAATAAGCCGTTGAAGATCCAAAACATTCAAAGTCTTTCAGGTTTTCTTCTATAAAAATATCAAACAATGGCCTAAAATGTTCCGGTTTATTAACTGTGTCTAAATGTTGTGTTTCTGAAACATAGCAGCATTAAACAGGATGTGGATGTGGCTCAGTCCTGCTGTTCTTTGCCTAGTTTCATTTTTGCGCCGCCGTACCCTCTGACCACCATCAGAAGTCAATGCAGCACAAGTGTTTTGCACAAGGACACGGCAACGTTGAAAGCTTGGGACCTGAACCGACAACCCTTCAGTTGGAGGGAAACTCCTGCATCTGAAGCCACAGTCGCCCATAAGATAAAATCTATTTGCCATTTTCTGCGTATTTATTGATAACTTGAGCAAAACTCAAAGGACTCATATTCTGAGTAACTGTTGGATCAAAACCTCTGATTTAATTTGTGAAACGATGAAATCAGAAAGATAGAAATATAAAATTGGCGTGATTCGGTGGCACAGTGGTTAGCACGCACGACCCATGTACGGAGGCCTTAGTCCTGGACGTGGCCGACCCGACCTTTGCTGCATGTCTCTCCTCCTCTCTCGTACCCCCTTTCCTGTCAGCCCACTGTACAAAGAAAATGAGCCACCAGTGCTGGAAAAACCTTAAAAAAGAAATATAAAATTTTAAATAAAAAGTTTTATTGAATCTTTATAAAGTTTTAAGAACAATATTTTTTTCAGGTTTTCAGCCATTAAACAGTTAATTAAATCTGACTGTATCTAGATGTTAGAATGGGAAATGGAGTGAATTTCTCCAGAACTTTTCTCCTCATACCGACCACTCAAAGCTCTTTACACTAGAGCCACGTTCACCCAGTCACACTCACTAACGCACTCATTCATTCACCCACATCGCTAGGCAACCTGGGGCTTAGTGCCTTGCTCAGGGCCACATGAGGAAGCTGGAATCAAACCCACAACCTTCTCCCCACTGGAGCCCAGTTCAGGCCAAGAACAGTCCAAAGTCCTTCCAGTGAGGATATCTACTGGTTCCTGTCTATTCAGCTGAGCTCCATGAGGCCCAGCAGGCTCAGCAGATAGAAAATAACATCAGAACCATGAAGATTGTGGAGAAGAAGTCTGACTTTAACATCAGCTGTAGGTGTGTCTCTGTGTCTGGAGCATTTCTGCTTCCAACATGTTTTCTTCATCCAGTGAAGTAACTGGAGGTGGGAGAGGAGCCAGAAATGTCCTCCAGTTAGAGCAGAGTTCCTTCCAAAGAATCAGCTCTGCTGAAGCTGCCATGAGTTGGTGTTTGATGTGAAGGTGGATCCAGTGTCTGCAGGGAACTTTGTGCTGCATTGATGAGTAGTTTAGTGATCAGAGTCCATGTAGTTTCCAGGATCAGACTGAATGCAGTGCAGTGCTGGAAGCTGCTGCTGACTGTGTGAATGTGTGTCTGTGCTGCTTGTTGCTGCTGTCAAGCTTCAGAGGAGCAGCTGAAGGAGCCTGTGGTGAGCGTGTACCCAGCAGCATCCAGAGCCCACCTGGAGGGGAAGAGCTCCCTGCTGTGTCTGGCCTCAGGCATGTTTCCTCCTGAGGTCAAGATCTCCTGGAAAAGACAGAAGAAGGACGGTGATCTGGAGGATCTGCTCCCTGCTGAGGGAGAGCAGCTGGAGCTCAGAGAGCCGGGACGCACCACCTCCATCTTACTGGTGGATGGGGACCCTGTCATCCCCTATAAATACCACTGCTCTGTCCAGCATGAGGGGGGAAGAGTGGAGGCCCAAACACAACAAGGTAATGAAGGCTTGGTGACTGTGTTCAGCAGAGATTCAGCTTCATGTGGAGACGCTGTCAAAGAGAGCAGAGGAGCAGAGGACGGACATTTCTCTCTGCAACTCCAAACATTTGACTCCTTTTCTGTTTCAGAGCTTCCAGCTCCAGCAGCCTGTCCTCCAGAGAGACCAGACCTGGCAGCTCTGCAGCAAGCTGACTGTAAGATCACCTGCTGACAAATACATGATCAGCTTCAGCTCCTCATCAGCTGGATTGGTAGATTTCTGAGCTCTCTGTGTCTCTGTGTGTCTGTCAGTGTCCTTCCAGTCTCAGTGCAGGGTGAAGCTGCTCCTCCTGCTCTACACAGTGCTGATAGTGAAGAGTCTGGTGTACTGCTGTGGACTCTCTCTGCTGATGAGCCTCAGAACCAAGGGACCGTCCACCAACTGAACACATGCTGACTCACTGCTTTCTCACCAACTTTTCTTCCTTTGCTCCTTGTTAAAATCTCACTTCTGCTGAATTTTCCTGACGTTAAAAAGTTTCTGCTTGTTTCTCCAAAGATGATGACATGTTTCTGTCATGCAGTGTCATTTGTAAAATGATCTTTGTAGCTTGATTTGATCGTTTGAATCATTTTCAGAGCTTGTATTTCTTTGTTGCTTCTCAAAAAGAAGCAGAATGGTGATTTTCTTTTTATTGTAACTCAGCTATGATGGAAATCATTCATATTTTTATTAAAACAATCTATAATTCACTTCCACTGTGTCTTTAATAGTCAATGAAATGATTTATTTTCCATTGCTCATTATATTCCTTCATCTGGTGGATCCATGACAAAGATTGCAATAAACATGATGAAAAACAGTTAATCATCATTTTCTGTAACCTGTTTAGATGAATGAAGTGAACCAAAGGACTAAACTAGAACCTTCACCTCTTCACACCTATTTTAGCAAACATGCATCAGTTTGGATGCATCACTCAAACAGCCACAATAGCGTGTTCATTCCTCCAATGCCAGTTATCACACATTCAGTGCTGACCTAGGAACCTTTGGCAAGCAGTTGTTTCTGGTACGGCTGGTCCCTGATGGGGAATCTGATCATTGATCATTGATCTAGAAAAACTCTCACTGATGAGTAATATTACATTTTATTAGTTATTAAAGTAAAAATCTCAATTTGGCAAAAACACAACAAAATGTTTTATATTGAAGTCTCTAAATTCAGGCTTCAATAATCTGGTTAAAGTTAAATGATGGACAAAGTTTTAATGCTGATTGTTAGAATGAATTAGCATCATTAAACAGACTGAGCTGTTTTCAGTCTGATCAGAGGTGATTGATCAGCTCTGAGTTCAGGGTTTGAGCTGTTTCTCTCTCAGATGAAGAACACAGCTGCTTCCTGTGATCATTCTTTCAGCTCAGTCGATGCTTGTAACTGTCATTGTGTTATTAAAGTGAAAAGCCACAGCTAACAGTGTGGAGGCTGCAGAGCACAAACCCACACAGCAGCAGGAAAGGAGCTTTGATTGGCTGTCAGCAGTTTGTTCTGTTCTAATAACCACTGAGAACAGATTCATATCTGCTGCTCTACAAACTCATCATCTTCCTCCATCTCTGTGGTTTGTTTCTGCTTCCTGGAAACATTTTATTTGTTTTTATTCAAATCAACATGAAAGGTGATTGTATAGAAAGTGAATCAGCTCAGGAGTCCAATCAGACGACCGTCATCATTAATTCTCAGTGTTCTCCTGGTAAATCCCACCAACTCACTGAGCTCCAGCTCATCAAACTACTTCAGTTCTCCTCAGACATGTTGGCTGGAAGGTGCTGAAGTGAAGAAAATGAGCAGCTTTTGTTCCCTGGGACATGGAGCTAACTGGTGTTTTGCAGGACAGCATAGATCTGCTTCCCTGAGACGTCTGCTGTAGCTGCATAGAGACCAACAATTACAGCATTAAGGGCCTGATCTTCAAAGACTCTAAATTAAAGCACTAATCTGTCTCTGCTTTTTTTGTGTGTGTACAAAAAGTTGGCCTTTTTTTCCGTGCATTAAGTCGGTCTTTTGCAGGTGACCTACAAATGAAATATAAAACATGATATAAAACATGAGTTTTATAGCTTAAGTGTTTTTCCTGTTGATTGTACCAAAGCCTCCTTTGTGGCAACAATGACTGCAGATATTTTTATGTGTCAGTTTCCACCTGACTTTTAGAAGTACTAACAAAAGACCCAGATACTGCAGCCACAGCTGAGTTTCCATTTAGGGAAAATGACTTTGCATCCTTTAAATGTTTATATTTGCACATCCTCCACCCAATGGTAGCTGGCCAATAGAGGGCGCTGGGGAGTCACCCTACCCACCCAATGACTTTGATTAAAGGTATATTGGAGGATTTTCCTGAGTTTTTGAAAAGACCCGCCCTCTCCACGTTAAATAAAAATGCACATGCACAACCCTGTACCCGCTCCTCAGAGGGAAGACCTATTAAACGCGTGTGACAACGTGCACAATCCCATTTCTCCTCGTGCACGTTCTGTTTAATAGTTGATGGTTGCTTCGCTCATACAAGCTTACTTTCCAAATGAAGATTTGTAATTTTCCACTATGTCAGACTCAGCACTGATAAGTGAAAATGGGGACGAGCACGTAGGACGGCCTTATATTAACATATCACCAGAACAGTGGTGTCAAAAGTTCACACATTTGTTATTTAAGTAGAAGTATAGATACTGCAGTTTAAATACACTCTGGTTAAAGTTGAAGTATCAACTTGACTTCTTTACTCAAGTAAAAGTGAAAAAGTATGTGCTCCAAAAACTACTTAAAGCACAAAAGTATAAAGTAACCTCTAAAAAAAACAGCCAGATGCCTCTATATGAATTGAAAGCTCAATTTTTCGACTACTTCGAAAAATTCTTTGAGAAAAGGCCAAGCTGGTCTCTTGTTGGTCTTCGTCTCCTGATACGCTCTCGCCTGTGTCTGACCTTTCAGACATTTCAACATCTTTTTCTGAATCCCACATTGTAGCATGGCATAGACAATTCACGTTTGTAGTTTGAAGAACACCTGCTTGCTTCTGATAATTTCCTTTAGCTAACCAATGAGTGTTTGCCTTATATGACTCATCCAATGACACTAGTTTTCACTAGATGTGGATGGAGCCAATGATCTGCATTGGATGGAGCACATGACGTGAAATAAATATTTATAAATAATTAAACCGAAGCCAAGAGTAACGAGTAACATTTGTTTTAAAAATGTAAAGAATAGAAAGTACAGGTTCCTGAGTGAAAATGTAATGAGTAGAAGTCAGAAGTAGAAAGAAAAATAAGTAATGGAGTAAAGTATAGATACCTAAAAAGTGTACTTAAGTACAGTAATAAAGTATTTGTACTTCTTTACTTGACACCTCTGCACCAGAATGATTGACAATTAGGAGGATGAATTATTTCCATGATTCACACAGAAAATGAACATCCTCCACTATACCTTTAAAACATAAAAAAACAAATAAAAATGTACTTATGAAATTAAATTATTTTAAAATATGTATTTCTTAGATGTTCAAGATAAATAATCTTTAACGTCGAGTAAAGCTGTGATGTTCGTCGTTGGATTAGTGACGTATTTCCGCCCTGGGGCGTAAAAATCTTTCCCGTAGACTCCTACCTTTGCAAACGTTTGCTGTTGTGTTTTGTGAGTTTTCCATCTTTAAGTTAAGTGGTTTTACTTGAAACACTGAAGCTAGTTAGCACAGACGATTAGCCTGTTGATGACGGAGCACTAAGAGACTAGTGATGATGCTTTACAGTGTGTGTATTTAGAAACATTCATCTAAGTTAGGAAGAGATTAAAAACTGTAAGTGAGTCTGATACAGTTGAATGTAAAAGTTAATTTAACTTTGATTTAACTGTTTTATTAGGAAAATTTGCATTTGGGCTTTTATATTTTCAGTTGAGATGAAAAAAATATAAGGAACAGCATGGATATCTGGAAATACGTAAAAGGAAGCGTTTTATACAGAGGTTTAAATTAGTTTTATTAAATTGTAAAATTTGTTTGACATATAATTTAAGCTGAATTTAAGTTTTGGAAATACTTTTGGATTGTAAATAAATTCCTGCTGTGTCTGCCTGAATGGAAGCATCGTGTCTGAGCTGCTTTCATTCTTTCTGTTTTCAGGCTAAACATAAACAGCACTTGGGTGACTTAGGCCAGTCCGCTGAGCCAAGTCTTAGAAACTTGGCAGTTATCTTTGACAAAGATATGTCATTAGTGCAGCACTGTAAGCAGCTGAGAAGAAACTGCTTCTTTCAACTAAGGAAAATCTCTAAACTCAGGAATATGGTCTCCAGGCAGGCTTAGACCGCTAATCTGTGGCTGGTCCTAATATCAGTGTGCGGGGTCGGCCCTCCCTAAGTCATACCAGCCCCAACAGCTGAAGCTCCTACCTGTGACAGTAAATAACTCAATGAGCTCAAGAAGTAATAGAATGTTAAAACCTAAATGATGCATGCTGTATATACAGTCCTTCCTTGTCATGAACATCCTTGTGACGGTTGGCATATGGTGTAATTTTCTATTTCTTCAAACTGTAAAATCCTTCTTAAAAGCTAAATTATAATAAAACTAAAATGCAACTACCTGGCTGGCTGGCTGACTGGCTGGCTGGCTGACTGGCTGGCTGGCTGGCTGGCTGGCCTCGTGTACGTGTGGACGTGATGCAGCAGCAGTTACTGTCACGCCCGTGTTAATAACCAAAGCCAGTAAAACTGCACTCTAGAAGTCTTGGTGATGGTCGTCGTGTGATGCTTGAAGACAGATCGGTTAATCTGCTATGTGTATTCGTATTGTGTGTCACATTTTAGACGGGTTTGACTGTGCTTCCATTTTATTTTATTGGTGGGGGGTCCATAAGTGGGCCAGTGTAGATGGAAAAATGCCAGGGCCAAAAATCATTCCCAGTCTGAGCCTGTCTGCAGGAATGATCTGGAACTTATAATTCATGCTTTTATGTCTTTACCTTTAGACTATTGTTATAGTTTGTTTTCATGTCTGAACAAGAAGCACATTTCTTGACTGCAATGAGTGCAAAACTCTGCAGCGAGAATTCTGACCGTACGAATAGGAGGACTCACATATTCCTGATTCTAAAAGAACTTCATTGGCTGCCAGTGTCTTATAGGATCACGTTAAAGTTCTAGTTTAGTCTTTCAGAGCCTTCCATGGTCAGGCTCCTTCTTCCATCAGTGATCTGATCCAGCTTACAGCCCTGCGCGGGCTCTGAGGTCTGTGAATCAGAATCTGTTGAAGGTTCCGAGGCGACAATCCATGAGTTCCTCCGGCAGAAGCTAAAAATCCCGGCGAACCAGGTAAAAAACATCACCTTCCATCACGTTCACCGGCTCAGAGGTAAGAAGCCTGATAAAACCCGTCCTAGACCAATTGTAGCTAAGTTTGAGCATTACAAGCAGAAAGAGCAGGTCAGGAGTCAGAGCAGAGAGCTGAGAGGAACAGATTTCAGCGTCAATGACCAGTTTCCAAAGGAAACATTAGATCGTAGGCGAGTCTTATTCCCAATCAGAAAGAAATACATTAGTGAAGGCTTCAGAGCTACAGCAGCAGTTGACAAACTTTATATTAATGGTCAGTTGTTCAGGGATCAGAAGATTCCTCCTTGGCTTTATTAGATGCACAACAGGTGGATTCAAAGCATGTGACACTTGATAAGAGTGTATAGAACGGATC